TGCTCAAATAGATGATAGGGAGTTCATGGTTAACAAACTATGGTCTGACATACATTTATGCATGGGGAAAGAACATCGGTTTGAATCATTTGTCGGGTTGTCCGTCCCCCATGAAGTGAGTATTCACCCTCCAGAACAATCAAAATCCAAGGGCAGTAGAAAGAGACTCAAGAGCAAAAAGGAACAGGCAGTTGAAAAATCAGTTAGCCCCAAATTCTCAACCAAACATCATTGATCGAGAATGAGAGCTCACCACCAGATTTCGAACGCTACTGCATATTACGCATCATGAGTTCCATCATTCAGTAGATCAGATCGATAAAACGTCACAATTCGTTAATTAGAAATCAAGTATGTGGGTACTGCAAATTAGGGCTCGATGGCGATAAATCTTTGCGTCACGATACAAACCGATGAGACAAACGTTTTTTTTTTTTTGTGCATTTAATGTAATCAACGTGGATTCGATTTCGGTTGAGTCAATAAATTAAGATTTGATCTGATATTTTTGAGGTTGTGAAAGTTGAACGCGAAGATGCTGATTATTGTAGATATGTTCGATTTCAGGTTCATTAAGCACCTCGCATTGTCTTGCTTCCGTATAGTTGTGGAACACGAGCAATGGAATTGAACGATACTCAATCAGGTAATGGTAACGCCTGATTCCGTCATTATGTAATGTGCAATTATTTTTTAGCAAATGTGCACGTGATCATGCATAATTGTGCACCCAATATATTATACGTCAGAATTATGACTAGCAAACATATGACTACTATATATGATGGTTGTCTGTAGTCTGTCTCTTATCATGATAAATATTAGTTGTATAAACATAATTATGTTGTCATATGAAACTAATGTGGTACATATATAATGTTCACATGACATGTAATTGATGTGCATCATGTTGTACATAATTGTGCACTATGCTATACTGATATTCCCATGTGTTTACAAAGGATCACAACCATCGAATGCAGACCGACAACAACTTTCAATCACACCCGGAGGAACCAAGTATTGGATACCGCAATGTGAGGAAACGCTTAAGCCACATAAGGGACAAGTATTCAAATCAATAGACGATGCATCTCATTTCTACAGAAATTATGCTCGTGCTGTTGGGTTTGACATACGACATAGTACGTTGATTAAGGCCAGGGATAAAACCATCATTTGGAAGTACTTGGTATGCTCGCGGGAGGGATATAAGCACAATGGGCAACCAGTTCAATCAACCCAGAATGGAGGTCGAGTAATACGGCGTAGGGTATCCAACCGTGTGGGTTGCAACGCCAGGATTGTGTTGCGGGTAGATGGAACAAATGGATATATCATTACCTATTTTGAGGATCGGCATAACCACTCGATGGTCTCAGATGAATGCAGACAGCATCTCAAGCTTAGTCGAACGATGAATGCTGGATATCAGTCTTTCGTTTTGAACTGTATAAGTATAAAGGCCAACATAGGGCCTATCAAGTCGTACAAGTTATACAAGGAGATTGTAGGCGGATACTCCAACATTGGTGCAACTAGCATTGATTTCAAAAACTTCAAACGGGAGCTTCTCGCATACATATCAGGGGCTGATGCACAGTTAGTTATCGATAAATTTTATAAGAGGCAACAGACCAGCTCTGCTTTCTACTTTAACTACGAACTGGATGAAAAAGATTGTTTGCGCCAACTTTTTTGGGCTGATCCAATTTCAAGAAGAAACTACGGGTCTTTTGGGGATGTTGTGACATTTGATGCAACGTATGGTACGAACAGGTAAATATTCTAAAAAACATGAACTTACACATGATTGCACAATACAGTATACTGAGATGCACAATACTTCATAATTAATGCACATTATAGTGAACCGTTTTGAAAACAATGTTATTTGATGTGCAGATACAACATGATCTTTGCCCCCTTTACCGGTATTGATAACCATAACAAATGCATTACGTTTGCATCAACGTTGATATCGAAGGAGGACGTTGGATCGCATGTTTGGGTGTTTGAATATTTCAAGAATGCGATGCTTCGAGAGCCAGAATACATAATCACTGATCAACATCCCTCCATTGGGATTGCATTTTCTAAGGTATTTGATACTACCAAGCATCGTTTTTGCATGTGGCATATAATGACGAAATTGTGTGACAAAGTTGGTCATAGTTTGCACAACGATGCTGAATTCAAAACAAAACTCCACTAAATCTTTTGGAGTCGAAGCATCGAACCGACTGAATTTGAAACCAAATGGTCAGAACTCATGCATGCCTATAATTTGGAAACACATAGTTGGTTTTTCAATATGTTTGCAAAGAGGGAATATTGGA